ATGCACACCTAAATTTATATAATGCTATAAACCGATGTGACCTCAATAAAAAAAAATGTACAATCTATGGTTTTTATCTATCAGCATAATCTAATTTTAAAACGTTTTCATCACTCCCAAAAGAAATCCTCTGTCTACTAGCAGTCACTATTTTCCACCAATGCCCAACCCCAACCCCTAGTCTACTTAGCAACCACTAATCTACTTTCTATCTCCATAGATTCACCTATTCTAGACATTTTGTATAAATGGAATCATACAATATATGGTCTCTTATGACTGGCTTCTTTCACTTAGCAAGATGTTTTCAAGGTTCATCCATGCCCTAACATGTATTGGCACCCCTTCCTTTTCATTGCTGAGTAATATTCCATGGAACAGAAAAATCACATTTTGTTTCTCCATGTATCAGCTGATGGACATGTGTGTTGTTTCCACTTTTTGGCTCAAATGAATAATGCTGCTGTGGACATCCACGTACAAGTATTTGTGTGGACATGTTTTCCTAGGAGAGGAATTGTTGGGGCGCGTGGTAACACCATGTTTAACTTCTTCATTCAAAATGTTTTAAACGATCATGTTTAACTTCTTAATTCAAAATGTTTTAAATGATCATGTCAGCCAACAAAACATGACCGCAGACCCTCAGCTCCCTTTCCTGCCCCAGCCCAGGAAAATCCAAGCCTTTTTTGTCCTGAGGGCTAGAAGACAGCTCACTCTTTCTCTGCCCCTTGGAGGGCCCTGTCCTCATCTCCTCAGTGAAGCCAGGCTTCTGAAGAGGAAAGCCAGAGGGAAGGCTTTGCAGGTGGGTTTTACTTCCCCCATTCCTGCAGAACCTCCGCCGAGGAAGTCCAGAGCCTCTCGCCCACTGGACGCAGGCAAAGGAGAGGGGGAAATAAAGCGGAAGCAATGTGAATTAGCATCTTAAACGTTATCCAGCCACACCCGAGCGCCTGTGGATCAATTTGCGCGCTCACAGCTGACCTGAAGTCGATATTCACCAAATGCACGGCTCTCTGTGTGAGAAAGCTCTGGCTCCTTTACAGATTCAAACTATGTGGAAGTCACTTCTCATTTAGCCTAATTTGATCATTTTAAGGTGTTTTTCAAGTCTGTTTCTGCCATTTCTAGTTGGTGTTTATCAAATGTTGCATTTATAGAATAAAATCCAGACTCCTTTCCACGACTATGAAGTTCGGCCTTTCCCGCCCCGCTGACTCCGTCTCCTCCAGCAGCCCCTGCTCTCTGCTCCTCACCCTCCCTGAGCGCTTCCCGGCCAGGCCCTGGGCAGACCCTGCGCCTCCGTCCTCACACTCCCTCACTCAGGCCCCCTGCTCAGCCCTCAGCTCCGACGCCTGCCCCTCACCAGCCGCTTTCCACTCCCTCGAGTGTTTCTTACTGCTTTCCGAATCGCGCCTGAACCGTGGTAGTCACTCGGTAAGTGCTCGCAGAGTGGAGGAAAGAATTTATACATTAACCTGTTTCCTTCTCTGCCGGCTTCTCTCCCCTCCAGGCCAGGTTTCCTCACCCTTGGGACAGTATTTTGTGCTGGATCATTCTTTGTTGCAGAGGGAGAGGGGCTGTCCTGGGTATTATCCTGGGGATGTTCAGCAGCGTCCTTGGCCTCCACTCACGATGTGCCAGTATCACCCCCTCCCAAGTCATGACCCCCAAAAATGTCTCCAGATGTTGCCAAATGTCCCTCGGGAGGCAAAGCCACGCCTGGCTGAGAAACACTGTCCTGGACAGGTGGCTCTGTGAGAGCAGGGGCCTCATCTTTCTTCTTTCCTGCTGTTCCCCAAGGCCTGCGCAGGGCCTGGCCCTCAGCAAAGCCTCGTGGACACGTGCCTGCACTGCAGAGAGACGCTCAGGGCTGGACAACTTGCCCTAGAGCAAGCGTGGACTTTGGACCCAGACAGACCCGATCAAATGCCAGCTGGGCCACATTTAGATTGTGTGGCCTCGGCCAGTTACTTATATTCTCTGACTCCCTGTGTCCCCACCTGAAAAAGGAGCTCAAGACGGGTGTGAGCAGTGAAGTGGACCCACCCAAGTGAAGAGCTGGTGGAGGGCGTGTCCTTAGAACTTGCTCGTTAGACAGCACCCGGCTCTCACGCAAGAACAGTGACATGGCTGCGGGGACCGGGGAAAGGGCTCTGCACATAAGGGTGCGTGACCACGGTCGAGGTTGCCCAGGACAGTGGCCTCGTCACTCCCGACAGTGCCCTCCTGCGCTCGGAAGCGTCCTGCTTTGTGGGTGGAGCCTCTGCTGGCCCTGCCTGTGGGACACTTTGCACGGTATTATCCCATGGCCGCGTCCTTAAAAGAGTTCAAAGCTTCCCGCCTCTTTCCTAAGATGGAAGTCACCCGCCCAATGCCAGCCTGTCCGCCTGCCAGTCCTTTGAGTTGACCTCTTCTCCTAGTCCAGTGCTCGCTTCAGGTCCCCTGGGCCTCTCTCCGCTTACCGGAACCACGCGTCTTTTTTAAAATTTTTTTTTCCGACTCCTTGTTGCCGACTGGGCTTGGTTCTCCTTGTGACTGTCGCCGGGTGGGCAGCAGGGAGCAGAGGCCAGCTGGTGGGACTGTTGGGAGCTGGGGCAGTGGGCTCCGATGGCCAGCTTCTCCCTACGCCCCAACTAAGGGTTCCCTCCACCCCGGGGCTGACAGAAACTTGGGGAAAGACTCAGCATCAGTTGAGCCTTAAAGGATGGTGGCAGAGTGGGAAAACGTTTGCCGTGGAGGGTGCAGGAGGACAAAGCAGAGAGGCTCCAGGGACGGCACAGCACAGCATCCATTCTTCACTCGTTTCTTCCTCCCTTCCTTCCTCCCACAAATAGTCCTTGAGCATTTCCTCTGGAACCAGTGCCGGGGAGACAAGCAGACAGGCTCTCTGCCCTCCGGGACTTGTGTCTAGTGGGGGAGGCAGTGAATTAATGAGTGGCTGGGCCTGTGATATGGAGAGAGTCTCAAGGCTGCACCCCCTGGGTGTGACAGCCCTGGGGGACCCGCCCAGCTCGGGGTCAGAGGCCTTCCCAGAGGCCTAAAGGATGGCAGGAGTGAGCTGGGTGAGGAGGCAGTGGGGGTGGAGGGGGTGAGAGAGAGTGCTCCAGGCAAGGGCATAGCAGGGCGAAGGCCCCAGTCGGTGTTGGTTGATGATCTGTGCCAGGGTGGCCGTGGAGGAGCCTGGAGAGCAGGGGGAGGACAGAGATGAGATGCAGAGGCAGAAGGTACAGGGCTTGAGTTGTCTCCATGGACGACGGGGAGGAAGCCAGTCATTAAGGGTTTCAGCAGGAAGGTGACTCACCTGGAGTGGTGCTGGGTGGGGGTGGGGAAGTGGAAAATTGGGTGGGATTGTGGCCCGGGTTGCATGCCAGGCTAGGAAACGCGAGCCTCGCCGGGGGTGGGAGTGCAATGGGGAACCACTGAGGGATTTAAGCAAACAAGTGACAAGGTCAGGGGTGAGTTCTAGAAGGATGGTTCTCGGGTAGAGGAAGGGGCCACCACAGATACCAGGAGCCCACCTGTGAGGCTAGGTGGGTGTCGGTCACAGTGGGAACAGAGGACTGTGGATGGGTTTGAGAGAAGTGGAATTGACAGGACCTGATGATCCATAAGCTAGGGGACAAGGTTGGGAGTTGTTGAGGCGCCCAGGTTGTGACTGTGATGGGAAAATGGGGGAGTTGTCCCCTGAGATCAGGAGGACAGTGGGCTATATTCTGGGTGTGTCAGATTTGAGACAGGACCTCCAGTGGAAAGTATTTCCTCATCATATCTCAGTCTGCCCAGGGCTAGGAGAGTGGAAGATCCCTGTAAGAAAAGAGATGGGGAGGCAGAGGAAGATGAACAGACCCACTAGGATGGAGGGAGACACACACATAGGGAGAAAGAGACAGAGACAGAGAGGTGGGGGAGGGAGGAGGCACAGAGAAAACAGTAGTAAAGACACCATCGTTCACTGAGCCCCTACTGTACACCAGACCCATTATCAAAGTTAATTCTATGTTCACCTCTCTCTCCGGCTCCTAGACCCTTGGGGACCCTCCACTGTTGAATAAAGTCTGGAATACAGCTGTGGGTGTTTATGTGTGTGTTCTTAATGAATTACAATGGTAGGATTCTGAGAATACCAATAGCTCTCGCTGGTTCATTCATTCATTCAACCAATATTTATGGAGCTCCTAGGCATGAGACATTGTTCTAGAATAGGAGTCAGCAAACTTTTTCTGTCAAAGAGCCATGTGGTAAAGTATGTTAGGCTTTGCAGATTGTAAGGCCTCTGTCACAATTGCCCAGCTCTGCTGTTGAAAGCAGCCGTAGACAATATATAAGATGGGCACAGTCACGTTCCAGTAAAACTTTGTTTAAGTATGGTAGTTCCTCAAAAAGTTAAAAATAGAACTACCATATGATTCAGCAATTCCACTTCTGGGTATTTCTCTGAAGGAAGGGAAATCACTGTCTCGAAGAAATATATGCACCCCTATGTTCATTGCAGCATTATTTTTATATATATATTTTTAAAGATTTTATTTTTTCCTTTTTCTCCCCAAAGTCCCCTGGTACATAGTTGTATAATCTTTGTTGTGGGTCCTTCTAGTTGTGGCATGTGGGACGCTGCCTCAGCGTGGTTTGATGAGCAGTGCCATGTCCGCACCCAGGATTCGAACCAATGAAACACTGGGCCGCCTGCAGCGGAGCACGTGAACTTAACCACTCGGCCACGGGGCCAGCCCCCTCATTGCAGCATTATTTTTAATAGCCAAGACATGGAAACAACCTAAGTAAGGCTCCATCGACAGGTAAATGGATGAAGGAAATGTGGTACATATATACAATGGAACACTATTCAGCCATAAAAAAGGAAATTCTGCCATTTGTGACAACAAGGTAGACCTTGAGGGCATTCTGCTACGTGAAACAAGTCTTACATGTGGAATCTAAAAAAACCGAACTCATAGATGCAGAGAAGAGATTGGTGGTTGCCAGAGGCGGGGGTTGGGGGGTAGGCAAGATGGGTGAAGGTGGTCAAAAGGTACAACCTTCCAGTTATAAGATAAATAAGCCCTGGGGATGTGATGTACAGCATGGTCCCTAAAGTTAACAATCATGTTGTATGTTTGAAAGTTGCTAAGAGAGTGGGTCTTAAAAGTTCTCATCACAAGAAAAAAAAGATTGTAGCTATGTGAGGTGATGGATGTTAACTCAGCTTATTGTGGTGAGCATTTCACAATATATGCAGATATCAAGCCATCAATCACCTAAAACCAATACAATGTTATATGTCAATTATATCTGAAGAAAACTGGAAAAAAACAACTATGTTTACAAAAACTGGCTACAGGCCACATTTGGCCCGTGGGCCATAGTTTGCCAACCTCTGTTCTAGATCATGATCAAAACCTACAACATCCCTGTCTCGTGGAGTATACAATCTAGCGAGGGGAGGGGGAAAAATAATTGGATAAGCAAAGAGATAATATGATGAAATAATGTCGGGTGGTGATAAATGCTTTGACAAAAAATAAAGTAAGGGGCTAGAGAATGATGGAAGGAGGGGCTATTTTAGACAGGGTAGTCAGGCAAGGCCTCTCAGCAGAGGTGATATTTCAGTAGCGACTTGATGGAAGTGAGGAGGCCATGGGACTATCTGGGGAAGATCATTCCAGAGATGGGGAACAGTAAGTGCAAAGGCCCTGGGGCAGGAGTATGTCTGTTGTGTCTTTAGGAATGGAAGCCATGTGCCTGAGGTGAGATGAGCAAGGCAGAGAGAGGTGAAAGTTCAGGAGAGACTGGTAGGAGGAGAGAGGTAGATTGTGGAGGCTGTGTCAGCCATGGTGAGGACTTTGGCTTTGACCCCGTGAGGTGAAATGCCAAGGGTTCTGATCAGAGAAGAATGATCTGACCTATTCTCAAAGGGCATCACGGTGGCTGCCATGTTGAGAAGGGCGGGAGCAGGGAGGCCAGTGAGGAAGCTATGACGACAGTCCAGGTGAGAGATGCAGGTGGTTTAGACCAGGGTGGCAGTTGTGGAGGTGTGAGAGGTGGTTGGCTTCTGGGTATGTTTCAAAGGTAGAACCAGCAGGATGCACTGATGCAGGAGAGACGGAGCTGGAGAGGGAGCTGGAGAGAGGAGTCACAGCCGACTCCAGGATTTGTGGCTTGAGCCGTGGCAGGCTGCAGCTTCTTTCTCTCAGGTGGGGCCGACTGGGTGGGCGGAGGGGCCGACTGGGTGGGCGGAGCGGCCGGGAGGTTCAGGAGTCCCGAACTGGGGCGTGCTGACTTGAGGTGGACCCTGTGCCGCAGGCGAGTGAGACGAGGCCCCTGTCTCCAGGGGACTCAGAGTCTAGTTGGAAAAACCATCTGGGATGCAGCAGCTTAGTGATAATAAGATATGTAAGAGGCTGCCACAGAAGCATGAATGCAACACTGCAGGCACCTGGAGCACCTGGAAAGGCAAAGGACCCTTCAGAGAGGTGAGGAGGCGACCGTTCTTTGAACAAAGATGGGGTAAAGGATAGGGCAAAGGCATTTCAGGTGGAAGGAACGGCGGGTGCAAAGGCAAGGAGACATGGCAGGGCTTGTCAAGCACAGGTGACTCCGTCGTTTCCTGCAGCTGTGACAGGAGCTGTGGCGTGGGGGCTGTGGGGCTGGACAGTGCCGACTTCTCTCTAGAGGCAGTGGGAGCCAGTGATGGTTCTAGATCAGGGGAGCAAGATGGTCAGAATGCATTTTCAGAAGGTCCCGCTCTGCCCCATTGCCGGTCAGGTGGCCTCCTCCCTCTGACTCACAGGTGGAGGGCCCAGGACACTTCCAGGACAGTGTTTCTCAACCTTTTTTTCATTATTGCTCCCCTAAAGAGCCTTTTTAGCCTTTTTTTTCCTAAGTGGCCCCCCTCCATGAAATTTTAACTCCACAGATACACTGTATGTGTATCTGTTTATGTGCTATATGTACATCTGTGCTTTCAACATAAAAAGAGCTGGATTTCGGGGGGCGGGAGGATGCGTGTGCTAGGGGGATGGTGGCCTTTCAGGCTGAGCATTTTCACATACAGCCTGCCTCTGGGTGTGTTAAGCCATGCCCTGGAAACCCGGGGGCTGGCATCTGCCATCCTGTCTGTCTGACTTGCTGCCTGTGAGTCTTTGCTGACTTGCTTAGCCGTTCTGTGCAATTTAATGTGTCCTCACGGAGCACCCCTAGGCACCACGCCTGTGCCGGGCCCAGGGCTGCAGATCTGAGCAAGGCCTGGGCCCTGCTTTCTACGAGCTTATGGTCTGGGGGTGGGGGAGCAGGGAGAGAGGTGAAAATGATGAGGATGGGGGTGTCAAAATCCTGGGGTTGTTCAGAAATGTTGAGATTGCTGAAAGGTTGGTCCCAAGGAGAACTCTAGTTTTTTGCTTTTAAATACAATTCCAGTTATCCAGAAAGTTATCAGCCATGTATTGCTGGCAGGAATGTAAAATGATTCAACCACTCTGGAAAATTGTTTGGCAGTTATTTTCCAAAGTAAAAATGGGTTTACCAAAGAATTACCATAAGACCTAGCAATTGCATTCTTGGGCATTTATCTCAGATAAAGAAAGACTTGTTTTCACACAGGAACTTGTACATGCATGTTCATAGCAGCTGTATTTGTAATAGCCCCAAACTGGAAACTAACCAAATGTCCTTCAATGGGTGAATGAATAAACAAACTGCGATATGTCCGTGCCGTGGAATACTACTCAGCGAAAAAGGAGACAACAGTTGGTCCACACAGTAACTTGGATGGACTCAAGGAAATGATGCTGAGTGAAAAAAGCCAACCTCAAAAGGATGCATATTGCAGGATTCCATTTATGGAGCATTGTGCAATAGCATGTCTGTGGAGATGGAGGGCAGATCAGCGGTTGCCAGAGGTTAGGGATGGCGGGCAGATGGCTCTAGAAGGGGCAACATGAGGGGTCTTGGGATGGCGCAGTTGAGTGTCTTGATTGTGGGGGTGGTTATACACAGCTATACATGTGACAAAATTGCACAGAACAACAACACACACACACACTGTCTCACACACACTCATGCTTACGTGTATAACTGGAGAAATCTGAGTCAACTCTGGCTTGTGCCAAGGTCAATTTCCTGCCTTTGATGCTAGGACCCCATGAGTTGTGTAAGTGTTAACATTGGGTGAAGAGGGCATGACACTTTCTTTGCAACTTCCTGTGACTCTATAATTATTTCAGAATGATAAGTTGTTTTAAAAATTCCAGCTATCAGAGGTAGAAGGTGCCTTAGAGATCATCTAGTTGGAAACCTCTCATTTTTAGGTCACCTACACCTCATGGCCTGCGCTCACCTGTAGCCTTGTCCCCACATGTCCAAGGCAGGTCCCAGGAGATCAGAAGCAGCACTGGGACAGTCCTGAGTCAGGAACCTGGTCAGAGCAGGTGATGCCAAACTCAGTAGGACTAGGAGGGCCAGAACCCAGCTCCCCGCTGCTGGCTGCTTCACTCCCCCTGCCTTTGCTGGGCTGTTCACGCTGCCTGCACTGCCTCCCTCCTTCTTCCCTACCTCCCGCTTCCCGTCGGGGAACACATGCTGACCTCGTGTCTCCCTCAGCTCCCTTTCAGGGGTTGAAAAGGTAAATGCCTTCAGTGGCCTGGAAGGAAATGTGAATGAGTGAGTGAGCGGGAACACTGCAGGAGTGGCAAAGGGCAGCGGCCAGGGAGATGATGGGCACGGTGGGGCCTGCGAGGCCCAGAGACCACAGGCCCTGACTATTAGGCACAGCTCCAACTGCTCTGGCTGAGAGTCACCAAGGGGAAATGTGGACCTGGTGTTGCCAGAGGCTCTGATTTTTACGAGAGAAGCCCAAACGTCCATATTTTAATGGAGATCCTCCAGATTTTTAAATGTTGGCCAAAAAATTCATCACTTTTTACAGCTCTAGCCAACATCTGCAGGTTGGATTCAGCTCACGGGCTGCCAATTTTGGATCACGGCTGCATATATTTCTCTTTTAGTGTTTGCAGTAATTGATTTTACTTCGCTATTTGTGTCGTCCTCCTCGTTAGCCTTGGGGGAATGGCTATGCCATATTCACAGCTGTAGCCCCAGTGGCTGGTCCAATACTTTGCATATAGCCGATGCTTAAGAAATATTAGTTGAATGAATGAGTTGGAATGTTAGAAGCGAGTCAGGGCCTGCAGAGGGGTCAGAAGATTCTAGAAGGGAACCAGGACCTTTCAGCTGGGGAATAGTCAGTGTGTCTTCAGAAGGTGGGGCCAAGGGGCGGGCTACGTTGTGTCCTTGGCCTCGCTGAGGCTGGGCATGGTGATTGAAATTCTGCCACATCCTTTGCGTGCTCTTGGAAGCAAGGATTGGGAGAATATGCGGGCCAGTGGGCCTTTACCACAAATGAGCCTGGCCCCAGGCACAGGGCCAGGCAGAAATTGGGCTTTGGGGGCATAGGAGGAAGCAAGAATTTTAATAAGTTTAGTAAAAATTAAAAGTAAAACCCGCGGTCCTGGAACTGCTTGAATCTAGTGATTTAAACCGACTTAGTGCAGTGGGAACGGCAAGGGATGCCAGGGGCTCAGGGGCCTGGGCTCTGGGGAAATGTGAGGGCCCAGGCACTGGTCCAGTGGAAAACGGGACTCTGAGGGGCATGGCCAGGAAGGGGCAGGGTCTGGGGGCGTGGCCTTGGCTGAAGCCAAGCTGGTGGGTGAGGCCGCTGGAGATCCTCACAAGGGGCCAGCTGTCCTGTCATCTTCCTGGTGGCCAGCTCTCCAGCCAATTGGGGCTTTTCAGGCATAGGACGCAACTCTGGGGGAGTGGGTTGGGTAGGCAAGGTAGGCAGGAAGACAGAGGGCCAGGCGCTGAGTGGCCTGGAGCACAGCGGTCCGGAGGGAAGCAGGGGACAGGGCTCCCAGGAGGTCCCTGGGATGGGGGCCGAGTGTGGCCAGGAGCCCAGCATGTGGGGTGGGCTGGGCCGGTCCACAGAAGAGTGTCTGGGGCTGGTGCCATCTTGGTCTCCAGGGGAGACCCGTGCTGTTCCTCCTGCCTAAAATACTGTCCCTCTTTTCCCCCACCTCTCCCTCAAGGCCCAGGTTGGGTGTGTCTCCTTTGTGAACTCTTCCTCAGCTGCTGTTGCCAGCTTCTTGTCTGTCCTTTCGGAATTGTTCCGGGCATCTTTACAACACCTGCTGGCATGGTGCACTCACTCTCTGCCTTGCTTTTCTCACTCACTGTTTCTTGGAGGTGATTTTTGCTCAGTATATTTTAATCTACCAAATTCTTTTCACTCGCTGATTATTAACTTGGTCAGTATTTCCTGAGCCCCGGCTCTGAGCCAGGCACTGTTCTAGGCACTGGAGACACAGCAATGACCAAAGCGGACACAACTCCTCCTCCTGGGAGTGGATGTGCTAGGAGGGGGATAGTTAAGAACTAAATAAAGGCATGACCTGTCTGGTGGTGATGGTGCTCTGAAGACGGCACGGCCTCTTACACTGTGCTGACGGAAGGCCATCATGGTGAAGGGTCATGTGCGCAGAAACCTGAAGGAAGTCGAATTAGTCGGTTAATGCTGTGAAACAAATCACCCCAAAACTTAGCCGCTTAAAACAACAGACATATATTATCTCACAGCTTCTGCGGGTCAGGGGTCCGGGCACAGCTTCCTTTGACCCTTGCTCCAAGTCTCTCACGAGGCGGCCATTGAACTGTGGGCCAGGGCTGCGGTCCCATCTGCACGTGACCGAGGCTGCAGGGTCTGCCTCCAGGCTGCTTGTCGTGGCTGTGGCAGCTTCAGTCCCTCACGGGCCATCGGGCTGAGAGCCTCAGTGCCCAGCCGTGTGGGCCTCTCCCAAGGGCTGCTCGCAACATGGCAGCTGGCTTCCTGCAGCACAGGAGATCCAAAAAAGAGAGGGAGAGAGAACGCATGCTAAGAGAAGAGTGAGAGCCCGAGATGGAAGCCACAGTCTTTTACAAACCTAATGTGGGAAGTGACATTCCACCACGTCTGCTATATTCTGTTAGTCAGTCAGTCCAGCCCACACTCGAAGGAGAGGATTCCACAAAGGTGTGAACAGCAAGAGGCAGCGAACATTCAAGGTCACCTTGGAAGCCACCTACCAAGAAGTGAAGCAACCAGACGTGTGGAGATCTGAAAGAAGGGTGACTCAGATAGAGGGACAGCAAGTGCAAAGGCCCTAAGGCAGGAACAGGCCTGGCACAGTGAAGGGACAACAAGGAGTCGAGAGAGGCTAGAGAAGAGTGAGAGAGGGGAAGGGGGCGGGAGATAAGCTCAGGAACGGAGACAGAGATTTCTGTTGCCGTCACTTAATCCATTAGTCCCCTATCGGTGGCCTTTTAGAGTGTTTTCAATCCTCTGCTGCAGGGAGAACCCTTGTCCGTATATCTCTGCCCACATGTGTGCTATGTCTGAGAGAACATCCCAGAGGCGAGATTGCGGGGTCAAAAGGAAGGCGCACTGTCGGTTTTGACAGCCATTGCCAAAGTCCCTTCTGAAGAGCTGACCCTCCCGCCGGGCCCTTGGAGGGCCCTCCGTGGCCCCTGCCTGGGCCTGGCGTCCCACCTTGCCTGTTCCGCACTGAAGGGCCGTGCTGTCTCCCCAGCTCCCGTCTCTCCTCCTCTCTCCTCCTCGGATGCTGATCTGCCGCTGCGGATGGCTGGCTGGGGAGTCGAAGGGCCCCGGGAGGGCGCTGCCCCTGGATGGAAGTTCTCCACGCTGAGAACTCTTCTCACAAACAGCGTCTTCTGTGTGCTTCTCCTGGGAGTCGGGAACTCCCTGGTGACTATTTTGAGACGACGAGTGTGTGCTTGCCGGCCATTTGTCTCTGGGAAGGTGGCTGGCTGGCAGGATCTGCCGAAGGAGAGAGCCCAGAGTAGACCCGGCCCGGAAGACAGGCTGCTGCACCCCTACCGCCTGCTCCCCCGGGCTCCGCCCAGGGGAAAGCCGGACCCCACGCCGCCCCCACAGCGTTGCAAGGCCTGGCGAGGCTCGGGGCTCTGAGACCACTGGGATGGAGACCACACAAGAGGGAACCCGCATTGATCAAGCGCTTACTGCGTGCTCTGGGTTTTTATGTAGAATCCGACCGTACATGGGGAAAGTGTCACCCCCTGCTTAAAACCTTCCAACGGCTTCCTGCTGTGTTGAAATCCCAACCCCTCCCCAACTCACCCTTCCCCACTGCCCTGCGCCCCCTCGCCCCTTGCTCCCCAGGCTCCAGCCACACTGACCCCTCCTCCCCAGCCGGGGCCTGGCCATTGCTGTCCCCTCTGCTGGGACTCTTCCTTACCCTTCAGGTTCCAGCCTGAAGCTCCCTCCCAGAGAGAGGCCTTCCCTGTGATCCAGTCTAAAACGGCTTCCCCAGTCACTCTGGCTCCTGTTTCTTCCCTGAAAGTGCATGTTTGTCGTCTGTCTCCCAACTTGAACATCATCTCCATGAGGACAGGGACTCTGTCTTGCTCTCCACTGTGTCCCCAAGACTTAGAAAAATATCTGGCACACAAGAGGTGCTCGAGGAGTATTGGCTGTATGGGTGGATTATCCCCACTTTCCAGATGAGGAAACAGGGCCTCAGAGATGTTAAGTGACTTGTCCATGGACACACAGCTGGGAAGTTGCAGAATTGAGATTCAAACCCAGATGTGCCTGACTCTAACCCAGTGGTCTCTTCCCTGCTGGATGGCCAGACAGACATTGCTGGCTGTCCAGGTGTGATGGGCAGGTGTCAGGCCAGTGGTGTCTGGGACTCCGGGAGCAGGCTGGAGCGCCGAGCTGCTGCGTCCTCATTCTTCTCTGTCTGGGTGGAGACACACTGCCCATGTGATATTACAAGTCCTGGCGAGGCCTGGGGGCTCTGAGACCCCCTGGGGTAGAGACCAGGTAAGAGTCAACCAGTGACAAGACAGGCAAGAGCTGGGTCACCCCCAGTGCCACGCTGTGCCCCACCTTTGCCCCGAGCCTCTGACTGCAGGTCTCCTGAGGTTCCATCCCCTGCAGCCTGAGGTGCCTCTGGTGGCTCTCAGTACCACCCCCAACCCTGGTCAGATTGCTGTTTTTCTTGTCATCACGCTTGGTCATACCTCTTCTCCTGAGGTTCAGGCTGCGAGGGATGACAGTGATGGTGTCATTTACCTCGAGAATCCAGCCCTTTAAGAGGCAGCAGAGAAATGTCCAAGGGCCCACGTTGGAGCTAGCCCCCGTGGCCCTCCACATACATCCTCAGCTTTTCTGAGCCTCAGTCTCCTTATCTGTTAAAGAGAGATGACAGTAGCTCCTCCCTCATGAAGTTCCCATGCAGAATCAGGGAGAGGCTGCGTGCGGAATTCCTGCTGGTGCACACAGGCAGGCCTCGTAATGGCAGCTTCACATCGGCCGCCATGTGGCCCAAGTGCCACCCTGCGAGGCCGTCTTCCTTACCCCAAGTCTGCCTGGGGTACCCCACTCGGCATCCTCTCAGAGCTCCCTCTGCATCATCTCTCAGATGGCTCCCCACACTTCCACATTACCCCCTCCCTCTCCGTGAGGACACACACCTCATTCCAGAATCTGCCTGGCTGGGACAAGTCATGGCCAAGCAGTGACCTTGGTAAGTGTATTGTAAGTTGACCTGGGACACAGAGGGGCCTCTGTTTCTTGGTCTGATGGAGGAGTAAGCTGAGAGTGGTAGGTGGGGTTGGGAGGTGTTGGGGGAACCAACAGGAGCGGGATAGCATGGTCCAGCGGGAAGGGAAGAACTCAGACTCTGTCCAGGATGTGTCGGCATCGGAGGAGGTCTGAGCTGGCAGGCGGATTGCTGCAACAGGAACCTAGGGGTCAGGCGGGGGTGGGGCATGGACAGCAACCACCACAGCACCAGCACATGTAGGGCAGTGACTATGCCCCAGCCACTGTTCTGTATACTCATGGCTCATTCCTGTACTAGATGGGAAAATTGAGGCACAGAGCTTTAACAGAATTGCCCAGGTCACATGGCCAGTAAGAGCTGGAGGCAGGATTTAGATCCAGGCAGTCTGACTCTGGAATCCACAACTCCACCTCCCATGACAGCATCTGAGTGCTCTGCTGGTTAAGGGAAGAGGCCCAGCCAGCAAATGGGGATGGGCGAGGTGGTCTAGTCCAGGATGCAGAAGTGGGGCAATGGGGAGGGTGTATTCCCGGGGGCCCTAGAGGACAATCTGCTGTTGGGAGGGGAACCTGGCAGTTTGGTTGGGATGCCTCTGTCATCTTAGGGAGCAGGGTGGGGTGTGCAGGGCTACTCTTCTATAGGCCTAGGGAAGGGGAACTCACGCAGACCTCAACTCTGGGAGGCCTGGCTCAGGAGCAGGGCTAGCCTGTGCCAGGAGTCTCTGGCTGCATGGGTGAGCCTCGCTGGGGCAGGCAGGGGCTGACTGGGGGGAGCCCCAGCCTCAGGCTGCCCCCGGGGTCTACCGAGAGCCTCCCCTCACTTGCCTCTGCCTCCCAGTAGCTCACAAACCCAGCTGAGCCTTGATTCCTCATGGTCTGAAGGCCTCCCGGCCCGAGGCCCTGCCGAATTCCTCAGGAGAGGGCAGGGGTGCCCGCGCCTGCCAGGCAAGCACAGATGGTGACAGCTGAGGGTCTTGGGCAGGGATGCCAAGGCCAACAGGAGCAAAGCCAGCGATGTCCAGGCCTGGCAGGGATGCACAGGAGATGGCCTGGGCTCCCGGGGGCCAATCCCGCATCCTCCATAAGCACTCTTCACCCCTCGTTTTGCTCAGACCTGGGCAATCTGAGCTGTTGGCCCCTAGTGAGCTCACCGCGCTGGCCAGGGTGTGACAGGGGGGCAGTGCCCTGACACCCAACTCCAAGCTTCGCTGCACCGCCTTCCTCCAGCTCTGTCCTCCCATCAGTCTGCCCAGGTGCGGCCTGGGTCCCAGTCTTCAAGGCTTCCATCTTGGCCCCTGTCCCAGGACAGAGGTGGGCCAGGGGGGGCCTGCAGTCCATTGGCATCTGGGACCCTCTGTGACAAGCCCCCCCCCCCCCCCCCCAGAGGTCAGGAAAGGACCAGGGCCTGCAGAGAGCCTGGCAGAGCCTGCATGCGCCTCTGCAGGAGACCAGGCTGCCAGTGCCCCTGCCCTCCTCCGCAGGACCCTGCAGAGGCCGCGCCTGGCCACCCCCACCCCCTGCATATGTTGGGCCTCCACCTCTTCCTCTATGACCCGCAAACTCGCAGCTGCCTTCCACGCTCACGGCTCGGGGTCCGCTGTCTTTCCTTGGGAACTCTCTTCCCTTAGAGTTTCACAGTTTTGGCCTCAGCTTAAATTTGTCACTGTTGCAGAGAGTCCTGCCCCAGCTTCCTTGGCCGAACTAACTACCCTAAACCCTCTTTTCCTTATCCCCCGTTTTCCTTCATAGCATTTATTAAACTCTGAATTTTAAACGTGTGTGTTTATTTTCTCTCTTCCTTCATAAGAATATCAGCACCGTAAGGGCAGCCCCCTTGTTTGTCTTATATGCACCTTTATTTCCTGAACCACAAGGAGGGCCTGGCATACAGTAAGCACTTAATAATACTTGCTGAATGAATGGATGGAAGAGGCCGTGATGGAGTGCTGAGACATCCGGACTTGGAGTCGGTGGACCTGGACACAAACATGCAGTGTTACCCTGGGTGGGTTGCTTTACCTCTCTGAGCTTCACTCTCTCCTCTGTCAGGTAGTGTGCAACCAAACCTAGCCTCCTTCGTGGGAAAAGGCAAGGATTACATGAGACATGGGATAGTCAAGTGCTTTACACACTGGAAAGCGCCCAGGGAAGGGAAGGGCTGTCTGGAGGCTGTGCAGCAAGGGGGCCAGCCGTTCCTCTCCTTTTCCTAGTGTGCAGGCTGCGTCTCGGGCGGTGGAACTGACTGGAAGGTGTCATGGCGTCGCTGCAGGGACGTGTGGAAGCTCAGAGCACTTAAAACCTAACCGGCCAGGAGAGTAGGATTGTGTTTCAGCTGATGCGCGGGAGGTGGCAGGGTCACAGGGAGGAATGTCCTCAAGGCTGCTTATGAAGGGCTCAGCTCTGTGCCGCGGCAGGAGGAGCCAGCTGGGGGGTGCGGGGCGGCGAGACCAGCCCCAAGCCCATCGCGGGTTTCTCTGTGCCGGTCAGGGGCCCTCGTGGACCTGATGGGAGTAGAGGGGAGGCCCACTGCGTGAGCCCCGAATACAGTGAATATTCCTGCTTGTCACTTGGGCACATGTAACTGTATATTCCTGGGAGAACAAGAGAGAGAGAGAGAACCAGGCAGGGAGTGAGAGTCAAAGGCAGAAACAGAAGGAGACAGAAAGAGAGAGACACAGATGGAGGTAGAAAGAGAAAAAGCCAAAGGGAGGGGGTCTGCCGAGGGCCCCTATGAGCACGTGCCCCAGAAGGATGTGAGGGGGGACTGCCGGTATGCTGCCCCCACCCCAGTGATTTCAGAGCCCCCAGGGCCTTTCGTCATGTGCACATCTTGCCTCAAAGAGCGCACTGCTAGTACTGAAAGATTCCTATCTTTCCTGCCGGCCCCAAAAGTTCGATGAATTCCGTTCTCTGGTTGCCCAACCCAAGAGAGACAATCCATTGCCAGGCTGGAGGAAGGCTGACCTTGGACTTCAGAGGGAAAGGTGCATTCTGCAAGATGGCGCCCCCGAGAGACTCCTGAACGTGTCACACTGTTAGAGCCTCCTTGGGCCCCTCACACCCTACTCCGCCCTGACTCAGCTTTCCTCACGCTCAGGCGTGTGCGTTCTCCCTCCACTGCCATGGCCACATCCATGTGCCCTCGTTTACTTAGGATTGTTCTCTAAATCGCTCTTTGTTTGAAACTTACATTTATTCAGAAAGGAAGCTTCAGATCACTACTGGAAATGAAAAGCCAGTGACACTTGCAATAAATAGAAGGAACCTGTAAAACTGTAAAAATAAAAACATTGCATTGTAAAACTGTTTATGTAGCATCTAAAACAGTGGTCTCACCCGGGGACAATTTTGCCCTCTCAGCCCCGCTCCCCCACCCCAGGGACATTGGGGTAATGTCCAGAGACATTTTTGGATGTCACGACTTGGGGAAGGAGGAGGTGAGTATTCTGACATCTAATGGGTAGAGGCCAGGGATGTTGTTAAATGTCCTGCAATGCACAGGACAGCCCCCAGAACAAAGGGTTTTCTGGGCCCTGATGTCAGTAGTGCGGAGGTTTGGAACGCTTGGTCTAAAGGAAGCTTGAGCACCCCAGGGAGTGTGCCCTCTACCTGGGCAGCTCTGACCTGGTTCGTTCTCCTCATCCTTCAGGCTCAGCTGAAACACCCCTCACCAGGGACGCTTTCCCTGACCGCAGGACAGAGCACTCCAGATGTCCACTGCTGTGGCCCATGCCCTTCCCATCTCCTAACTCTCTGACCTTTGGCGGTTGTTTTCTGCTTGTGTCCATCTCCCCTCTGGAGCTTCAAGCAGGCAGGGCACCGTCTGTCCCATTTATCTCTTTCTCCAGCCCTTAGCACAGGGCCTGGCTCTTGCAGACGCTCAGTAGTTGTAGATGGATTGAATGAAGGAAGGTTGGGCAAAAAAGACATGATTCTCCTCCTGGATTCCCCACTGTCCTTCGGCACTTGACCTTTCCTCAGTTTCTCACCTGTGAAATGGACACGCTAATAGGATGGCTGTGCGCATCAGAGAGAGAGCGGCTGCAATGTCCCTGGCAGAGGGAAAGCTCTAGGTAAAGGTTAGGTGCCATCCACAGGTGGAAGGGGTCCCTTGAGAGATTGGGGGCTCATTCCCTCATTCATTTATTCTATCATCAGTATCGCATACCCGTACTCCTGTTGTCCCAGGGTAATTCTTAATTGCACCCCCTTTCATCTCAGAAGTGTTCTGGTTTGGGCAATAAATGATATTCAGGGCCGCCCTGCTCCTGTCTACATAGTTGAATTCATTCTGTCCTGGAACCTACTGTCCTTGCCTCCTCCTCCACCTCCTCCCACTCCCCGCAGGCAGGTAACTTTACCTGGTTTCCAGGAGAAGGGAAGAGAAACTGGCTCTGCTTGATCGCATGTCCTTCCAAACCTTTTCCTCAACCATCTGCATGGAGGCTTTTGAAATCCCCAAAGCCAGGACCTTGACTCTTGTTTTCTGTCTTCCGCCGACAGCTGCGCCCCAAGGCCATGGAGGTCTTATAACTAGTTACCCAAAGGAAGGAGGGTAACAGGGAAGCTGGGGGACAGGGGGACATCTCCATTAATATCAAAAATCATTCCCACCACCAAATTGCCCTGGGCTACCCCAAGACTCACCAGAAACTGGGGTCATGGCTTCCAGACTCATTCTAGACCCCCATCCTGGGGGGAGGGTCTGAGCCCCTTCATTGCCTCTGGGCTATATGGAGGTGGCTGGGGTGGACAAGGCTGGTGGGGGTTCAGTAACCTATTACCTGAAATGGAAAGGTCCCCTATTAAATGTCACCTTTGATTTGAGCCACTTTGCTTTAAAAGGCAAATAGAGAAACAGGCAAAATCCACACAAGAGTGATGCTAATGACTCAAGTGGCCCAAAAGGAGACCTTTGGAGAAAGGGCGGGGTCAATGGAACCACCTAGTTCTGAGAAGACAAGGTTGAGGGGTGACTTGGTAACTGCCAAGCTCCCAGAAGGTTCCTCTCAAGAAGATGCCAACCCGCTCACCCGCCACATCCTCAGAGGGCAGAGCAAGAAATTAACTGAAATTGGAGCTGGAAAGATTTAGGTTATGTGTGAGAAGGAACTTTAGAAACCCTGAAATATGCTACCAAGAGAGGCTGCGAGTTCTCCGGAGAGTGTCTAAAAATAGCTTGTTCTCTAAAAATAGATCTGGGCACGTTTTAAACATAGCATCAGTTCGGCTTCTTGGGGACAGTGTTAAGTGCAGGCAGACCTGCCGGGTGCAGCCCTCCCCAGGCCCAGGGCAGGCGGGAGAGTCAGCCTTTGGTCTCAGGGAAGACAAATGTCTGGAGGTTTAGATACGTGGAGATAAGGGATTTATTTTTCTGTCTGACCCCAGCTGGTTGGTGTCATGAAATACCAGCCTTTAGGATCTCAGTTTTCTTCCTGTGGGAGGATGTTCCAGGGCTGATGTTAATTGGCTCAGTCCCACCAATTCCCCCAGTCCCTCCCCATTCCTGAGTCAGGCTCTCCAGTGCCTGCGGGTCTGCTGGAATTCACCCATCTCAGTGGTGCCAGGCTCCCTGTGGCTCGCCTGTGACCTGCCAGCCCCTCCTGCTGTCAGCCCCATTGGACCCACTGTCCTCTCTGCAGCTGTGTTGCCCCCCCGCCCCGCCTCCTGTCTTCTCATTCTCCACACAGCAGCCAGGGAGATCTTTAAAGAGCAGGTCTGATTCTGGCTCTGTGGCTTACGTTATATTGGGCATTTTCTGCCTGTTGCCCTCAGGATGGAGCCCAGACTCCCTAAGATGCTTCAGAACTTTCTGGGCAGTGTCTTGCTTATCCCTGCAGCGGTGGCTCTCACCACCCACGTGCCCTGCCTAACAGCCATTACAGCCCCACCAAGCCACTCTGCCTGCAGGCGCTGCCGGAGCTCGAGCCACTGCCCGGCCACCCTCCTTCTCCCTCTGAACCTTCACCTCTCAGCTGGGATGTCACCTTCTCTGGGAGACTTTCCTGACCTCCCCACCCAAGCCTGGCCTGGAGCCCCGCTAGGGTTCCCATGACCTTCCCCTGTTGGCTGCCCTGACACACGGTAGTCCCCATTTGTCTGTCTCTCCCATCTCCTGAGAGCAGTGGGAGGCCAGGTTGCTTCTCCCAGTGTATTTCTCCCAACCAGAAGAAAGCCTCGTGCACAGCAGGTGCTCAATTTGTGCTCAGTGACTAATTAACTGAATGTCAGGCTGTCCCAGCAGGGTTTCCCTTTGCTACCATCCTGCCCTCTCATCTGGTTTCAGCTTCCTCCAGGTCCCCACCAGCCCCGCTGTCTTATGTCCCTGACGTGACTTGCGTGGGATGTTGGTAAACGAGATGGGTCCCTGCCCACACAAGAATATTTGTTTAGACCTGCATGCTCCCTGCACGTTCTGAGTAATGTTAGGCGGCATCTTTAATAATATTATAAATTAATTGATCAGCTACCTCCCTGATATCTCAGTTAAATGGATCGTGCCATCAGCATAATACGTCCAAAGTCTGTAAAATAGAGGCGGCCAGAAGCAAGAGGAGTCCTGGAATTCAGCTGGGCATCATTGCTCCATGTCCTTTCTCAGGTGGCGTCTCCAGACTGGAGAGTCTTTCTTCAGAAGAGGCGTGCTGAGGAACCAGCCACCCCTGCCCCCGGGGAGGCGTCGTGGATTGGCACTCCTGCATGTTCTCCAGACTCAGGAGGCACTCTCCCTCCCCTCTCTCCCCACCTGAACCCCACAGGCATGCCGCCTGGGCCACACCGCCTGATCTCACTTTAAATTTGTGGGCACAGCCCTCACGCGCACAGGGCACTGCCCCGAGGGCCACATGCGCTTGCACCATCAGTGCTTTCCCACTCTGCGAAAGGACTTCACGCCTGCGCTCCCTCCTCAAACCTCCCCTCCCACATCCCCATCGCTGTCTGCCTCGCTCCGTGGAGGGGGAGAAGCCAAGCTGCCCCAGGACTGTGGTCTGTGCTCACACTGCCTCCCTGATCCGTCGTTGGGCCAGGCTTCCCAGCTCCCATCAGAAGCCAACACTGTCTTCTAGAACCTCCCCCACCCTTCCCACCTCATCTCCTGTTTCTACAATTGCCCCCTGGCTCCTCTGCACGTCAGTCTCTCCCTGTCTTCCTGATCACTGAGGAAGCACAGGAACGGTGCATATCTCGCCCCTTCAAGACCCCTCCTGGCACCCCAGGCCCTCTCCAGCCATCACCCCATTTTTCTGTTTCTCCATGCAGCAACAAGTTTTGAGGCCTTCTCTATCATTACTTGGCTATTTTCTCTCCTCTTCTCAACCTATTGCAGTTGAACATCTGTCCCCAAAGGCGCGCATGTTGGCAAATCCAGCGCTCTCTCCTCTGCCTTCATCTTTGACCTAACGGGCTGCTCCCCACTCCTTGACCTGTGTCCCACCTCACCTTGGCGATGCCACACTCTGGTTTTCGCCCTGCTGCCCCGGCCTCTCCTCCTCGGCCTCCTTTGTTGGCCCCTCCTACTCTGCTCTGCACTGGACATTGGTCCATCCGGGCCCTTCTCTTCTCTCCCTGCATCTCTCCTGGGTGGTCTTTCCAGGCCCATGTCTGTGTGCCAGACTCACGCATTCAAACCTCCAGCTCTAACTGTTCCCTGAACCTCAGACTTGTGCACTCAACTGCTGGCTTGCTATCTCTGCTTGGGCATAAAATAGGCGCTTCAAACAAATGTGGCCCAAATGGGGTTCCACTCACCCCAAACGTCTTCCTCCCTTCATCTTCTTCACCTTAGTGAATGGCTCCCTCATCCGCCCAGTTGCTCAAACCAAAACCTTGAGGTGACCTAGACCCCTACGTCCAGCCCATCAGCAGGTTTGTCGACTCCACCTTCAAAACCTGCCCGGGAGCTGCCGACAGCTCAGTCCACACAGCTCAGCCTGGAACGGGCTCTCAGCTGCCCGGCCCACGGCTGCCTGCACACAGTAACCAGAATGAGCTTAAAACGTCAACTAGTCCCCCGCGTAAACCCTCTCCCGGCTTCCCATTGCCCTTAGAGTCAGAGCCACGCTCCTCACCACGACCTCCAGCTCCTGGATGGCCTGACCCCTGCCGGCCTTCCTGACCTGTCTCCAAACACCCCTCCCCTTTTTCACTCTGCCGGAACCTTCTCTCCCCTCCCCCGACAGGTCAGGCTTGGTCCTGCCTGCAAGGCTTTGCCCTGGCCGTGCCCTCTGTCTGGAATGCCCTTCCCCAGCCCTCCGTGTGGTGGCCTCCAGCTCCCCATTCAAGCCTCTGCTGAAGAGTCACCTCCTCAGAGAGCCCCTCCCAACCACCCATTCTGAGAGGCCCCTCGGTGCTCTGTCCCTCAGCTCTAGTTTGCTTTCAGCATGGCACTTTCCACTCCCTGACAATTCTTTTTTTTTTCCCTCCCAAAACCCCAGGACATAGTTGTATATCCTAGTTGTAGGTCATTCTAGTTCTTCTATGTGGGACGCCGCCCCAGGATGCCCTGATGAGCGGTGCCATGTCCGCATCCAGGATCCGAACCAGTGAAACCCTGGGCCGCCAAAGCAGAGCACACGAACTTAACCACTCGGCCACGGGGCCGGCCCCCTCCCTGACAATTCTTGTTAACTTGTGTGCTCATTGTCTGGATCTCTCCACCAGAACCTGAGACCCTTGAGAGCAGGGCATCTGTGGTCTGTTCCAGTCTCCCCCACGGCCTCGGGATCAACGTCTGGCATCTGAAAATCATTCGATAAATATTCCTTGACCGATTGAATTGATGAATGATAAATAAATGGATGATGACTCTGACATTTGCTCACGTAGACAATTTACTCTCCAAAGGGTTCAGATCTGGCCCTGTCCTCGCTCATTCCCGTATCCCAGACCCGAGACCTTTACGCCGGGCAGCCTAACACCCCAAGCACCTGCAATCAGCGGCCGTCTGTTCTTTCAACAAACACATAGGGAATCTGTAGTGTGTGCCAGGCCCTGGGCGAGGTGCTGGTGATTCAGTGGAGAGCAAAACAGCCCTAGCCCTTGACTAGTGTACTGTCCAGCGGGCCTCTACAGGAGTCTCGTGCATTCGTGCCTTCACTCACTCAAGAAACGCTTACACAGGGCTTACTGTGTGCCTGTAAAGCACTGTTCTAAGTACTTTACGAGAATAAGCCACTTGACCCTCATACCCATGTATAAGGTAGGTACTGTTGTTATCCCCATGTTACAGTTGAGGACACTGAGGCACAGAAAGGTGAGGTTACCTCCCCGAGGTCACACAGCTGGTAAGTGACAGAGCTGGAAACTGGACCCTCTGTCTCACTTTGCTTCTCCCCTTCTTTACTCTGGGATCCCCTTCTGACCCTCCCGACATTGTCTCTTAATTCTGGCCACACACCAGCCCCTCTGGACTTGACAACAGAATCTGGCTTCCTTAGGGGGAGCAGCAGAGGGCAGGAATGGGGGTCACTGCTGCCCTTCCTGCTCCGGGTTCTGGTTGGCACCACACCCAGGAGGCTCTGAGCCCTCGGCCGACATCCCCCAGCCCCATGCTCCCCAAGGTCCCCCAGGGGCAGGAGAAGCCACGGCTGCCTCACCACGCGGACTGGGAATTCCATTTATGGTGTCAGGAGTCAGGAGATTCCAGAAACCAACAAGACATCCACAGCTGTGAGTTAAAGCCTCGTTCGTTTATTTGCTGCTAATCTAGGAGGTGAGCAGCTCAGCTGAAAGTCACTTCTTAACTCAGATGGTTGGAAATGGTTCCTTCTGCCGAGGGCTTGTGTGGCAGGTGCTGCCGGCGACCTTGCTGTACAGAACCTTGTGTTTCCAGAATCACGGGCCAGGGGCAGATGTTTGAAGCAGAATCTTTAAAATGGGATCAGAGGGGCCGGCCCCGTGGCGAGTGGTTAAGTTCTCACGTTCCATCTCGGCGGCCCAGGGTTTCGCTGGTTCGGATCCTGGGCGCAGGCATGGCACCGCTCATCAGGCCATGCTGAGGCAGCGTCCCACATGCCACCACTAGAAGGACCCACAACTAGAATATACAACTATGTAATGGGGGGCTTTGGGGAGAAAAGGGGAAAAAAAAGATTGGCAACAGTTGTTAGCTTAGGTGCCAATCTTTAAAAAAAAATATAAACACAGAGAATCTCACCAACCTACCTTTACGTGAATTGTAATTTTCACTTACTGAATTTTCTTAAAGGCCTTCATGTTTGAGAATAAGTGGAATTCAATTGAGAAAGCAATGGTCTTCTAAACTACAATTCAGAAAATTAATATTCTGCCAACAGGCTGGATCCGGCTTCTGGATCTAGCTGGAGAGTTTTGTATTCAAATGCTAAGTCCCCACTGTCCTAATGTAAGGAGGGGTCATTCTCATGAATGTTTTCCTTCTTGGTGGACGTTCATTGTAATTGCCTGTGTCTACTAGCATCTGCATTTCATAGATGAGAAAACCAAGGCCCCGAGAGATCAGATAGCTCAGAGAGCACCTGGACTGACACCACCAGGAAGAAACTGAAGAAGGCGCAACCGCCGAGGGTTTGGAGAGCAAGGACTGGCAGGGGCTGAGGGAGGGCCAGGCTCCAGGGTCGGGCAGCAATTCCAGAGGGCGTGAGCACCGGGCAGTAGGAGGGGTGACTCGCCCCTCCATCTAACAGACTCTGCTGTAAGTTATAGTGCCTGAAACAGGGTGGCATTGGCACAGAGACAGAACAGTGGGACAGAATGACATTAGGAAATAGACTCGTGTGTATGTGGGGCTTGGATTGTGGTACAAAAGTGCCATTTAAAATCGGGGGGAAGGATGGACCAGTCCATAAGAGCTCAAAGCACTTAGCTACTCACTTAAAAAAATTAAGTTAGGTCCTTACGGCACCCTATTCACCAAGATAAATTCCAGATGAATTAACATGAACGTCTATAGGTGTGTTAGAAAAATACAGAGACTGTGTTTATGGTGTTGCTCTTCTTAAAGTAGACACAGGAAGCAAAAACTAAAAAGGAAAAGACTGTTAAATTTGGCTATATCAAATATCAAAATATTTAACAAAAGCAGCTTCGGTCATAATTGCCGAAATTTGGAAGCAATTCCTTCCATAGGCGAATGGACCGCAGATGGATGACCTGTGGTCCATCTAGACCATGAAATATTATTCAGCGCTAAAGAGAGTGAGCTGTCAAGCCTTGAAAAGACAAGGAGGAACCTTGAGTGCCTATGGCTTAGTGAGAGAAGCCAGTGTGAAAAGGCTACAGACTATATGCTTCCAACTCTGACATTCTGGAAAAGGCAAACCTATGGAGACAGTAAAAGGATCAGTGGTTGCCAGGGGATGGGGCATGGGGGGGTGGGGGGGGGAGGGAGTGATGAATAGGGGAACACGGGATTTTTAGGGCCATGAAACTATTCGACACATGAATGGTGGATACTTGTCTCTATACATTTGTCAAAACCCATAGAATATGCAACACGAAAAGTAAGCCCTAATGTAAGGTATGGATTGAGATAATAATAATGTCTCAGGATTGGTTTATCAGTTGTAACAAATGCACCACACCAATTAGAGAGCTTAATCATAGGAGAAGCGGTGGGGGTGGAGACGGGGCATATGGGAACTCTTGGTAATTTCCACTTAATTTTTCTGTAAACTTGAAACTGCTCTAAAAAATAGTCTATTAATTAGACTAATTTTTTTAAAAAGATGTTTTGTACATGGGAAAAAAATAGTAAACTATTTGTAGTCTATGCAACAGGCAGGATTAGTATCCAGAACGCATAAAATGATTCCTACCAACTGATAAAGAAAAAGATCAGAAAAAAAATTGACAAAGGACACAGACAGGCCTATTCGTAGAAGAAGAAACAGAAATGGTTAATAGACACATGAAAAATGCCCAAGCTCACTAGAAATAAGGGAAATATAAAACCTAAAACTACGTTGAGGTGTCATTTTTCAGCATGCAATGGGCAAAATTTTTAATGTCTTATAATATCAAGTATTGGTGAGGCTTTGGGTGGGTAGCGCTCAGACAGCTGGCAGAAGTACAAAATGGTATTGTCACTTAAGAGAACAATCCACCGACACTGACTCAGGTTTAAAATGCACGTGCTTTATGACCCAGTAATTCCTGTTCGTCGCGCTGGAGAAATACTTGCTTGTCTGTACCGAGAGTCTTGTAGAAGAGTGTTCATTGCAGGGTTGCTTATAGGGCAAAAATTTGGAAATAAATACCACCAGTTGATTGGATAAATCGTTATCAAGGAGCCCTTTACGTCAGTTCCAAAGAATAAGGTATATCCGCTATGTACCTCTTGGCAGGTTCACCGAGAATTGTGCCAAGGAAAGAAAAATAAGATACCCGTATGGCTCGGCCCTCGTCCCCTCCTTCCAGCAGACTGAGCCGAGGCAGAGAGGACCAGAGGCTCTGGCACCACCTGCCAGGGCGCTGCTGAGGGTGGGTCTGGGCTCTACTCAGGCCTGGCAGAGACAGCCTGGGGCAGGCGGCGTCTTTAGGGGCTCCTGAGGCCCTCAGCGTCTGTCAGGGCACCCTCTCCCTCGATTTCCTGGCTTAAGTGCTCCCACCAGCCCTGGAAAGTAGCCTTCGTCTGAGGTCAGAGAGCAGTGAGCAGTGTCCACGAGACGCCGACCCTGGCCCAGATGCGCAGGCTATCACCCCCAAGTTCTCCGTCTCAGTGGGGCCACAGATCAAGTGACCAGAAGGAGACGAAGGGGTGCTGGAGCCTGCTGGCTCAGCTCAGGGGCGCCACCACGCACAGCTCTTCTCTGCTCTGCTGTCAGTGATGTCACGTTGGCAGCTTGAAACTGGCCCTGGTGGGAGTATGTACACCATGGAAACTGGCAGGTGCTTCGGATCAGGGCTTGCTTTTCTCAGAGAGCCAGCTGTGGACCATTTACATTGTGGGAACACAGAGTGTCCCTTCCATCCCCACCCACCAAGGCTGGGTCCCGGGAGGCGGGGCCTCGCTCCCTCTTGCCTTCAGTCTTCTCTCATCTCCACCCCTCCTCTCCTTACCTCTGACTTTCCTCTTGTCTCTTCCTCAAGAATAGGGTAAGGGTGACTGGGGCAACAAAGAGGGGACAGGCGCAGTCTCAGCAGCATGGGGAGAGCTTTTGGATCTGAGCCCCAGTCACAACTAAGCCGTCTGCTCCCTGTGTGACTTTGGATGGACTTGGCCACCACAAGCTTCTATTTTCTCACCTGTGAAATGAGAATAATCATGGTCAGGGCTCCCATATTCAGCCTTGCAGGTGTGGTTCTGCTTCAGCTCCAGCGAGTGGCAAGTACATAGACTATGATGTGAATGGAGCCCTATGGAGATGTGCAGTGGGCAACCTGAACGACGGTACACGGCCCTGATGATCGTACTTACTTCAGAGAGTTGTGGCAATTAAAAGAGAAATTCACGGAGGGGAAGTAGTCTGACAGAGTGCTGGGCACACAGTAGATGTACAGGCATTATTGGTTTCCTTTCTTGTCGTCGTCTACCCTTTCCCTCCTCATCAACACTGCATCATTCCATCTTAAAAGTTAGGTTCATGTCAGTGAGCCACACACTGTGCACCCACAAGGGCTCCAGATGCCACAGTCCACACAGAGAAGTGCCCCCAGGTTTATAATAACCCTGGTGGCTATAATGATTGCACTGAGTCGTCTTTGCCTCGTTTCATTCACCCTCCATCTTACCTGGCATAATCCTCATCTTAGGCTTGAAAGATTTGAGGCTCAGCAAGTGAAGTGCCTGCCCCGGGGTACGTGGTGAAAATGTGGTGAGAGGATTCCCGCTCGGATCCCTCGGAATCAAAGTTCTCGCGGCCAGTTGGCTCCAAGATTTTTCACCATGAGCCACAGAAAAACGTTTCATATTAGAATCACTATAAACACACACACGTACAGAGAACTGAAAAGTTTTACAGAACAATATTGACTTCTGCTACGTTTGGTGGTATCAGATATTTATCTTCCATTCTTGTTTTTTCTTTAATGCTGGCTGCAATCTGTGAAGTTGATTTCATGACCCACTAGTCTAGCGAAGAACTCTCTAGGTACTTCTCCCAAATGACCTCCTAACACAGGTACCACAAACTGGCCCCTGGGCTGGATCCCACCCAACGCTCGCGTTTGTGAATAAAGTTTTATTGGCACACAGCCACGCTCATCCATTTACGTATCGTCTGTGGCTTCTCTGCACCACGGTAGAGTCGAGTAGCTGCAACAGAACCCAATGGCCCACAAAACCTAAAATATTTACTTATCCGGTCTTCAACAGAAAATGTTCGCCCGTCCATACACAGCTCTCACTCTGTCTCCCTTGCTTAAATTTTTCTGAGTCTGCCCTTTGCCCTCTGGCTCCAACTCCAGCTTCTTGGCTGGCTTTGAAAACCCCCACCCTCTGGCCTCCTGTGCTGTGGTCCTGCTGACCTCCCTTGCCTGGGAGTCTGTGCACTGACAGGCTGGCAGGTGGCTGAGAGGCCGGTGGCGGGTGGACAAAGCCCCCCCTTGCTTCCTGACACCTTGCTCTGCTCCCCTCACAGGCCTCCTGGGAATGGTAGCCCACATGATGTACACACAGGTGTTCCAGGTCACCGTGAGCCTCGGCCCTGAAGACTGGAGACCTCATTCCTGGGACTACGGGTGGTCCTTCTGGTAAGTGGCTTTTGACTTTCAGGCGTCAGAGCCCAGAGGCGTGCTGGGACTTCAGCAGCTCGGCCCAGCTGGGGGACAGAGAAGGTGGGAGTAGCCTGGAGTCCATAGGTGTTCGAGACCTGAGAGCCGGGGTTGGCAAACTGTGGCTCATGGGCCAAATTTGGTCCACCACCTGTTTTTATGTAGCCCTCAAGCTAAGGATGGTTTTTACATTTTTAAATGCTTGAAAATAAATCAAAAGAAGAAGAATATTTTGTGATGTGAAAATTACGTGAAATTCTAGTTCCAGGGTCCGTGAATAAAGTTTCATCGGGACGCAGCCACGCTCATCATTTACGTATTGTCTACGGCTGCTTTCACGCAGCAACAGCAGAGCTGAGTGCTGCGGCAGACGGAACGGCCCACAGAGCCGGAAATGTGTACCGTCTGGCCCTTTACGAGAGTTTGCCTACCCCTGCCTTAGAGGCTGCCGGGAAGGTGGAGACGGGAGCTGGGAGACCTGAAGGCAGGGGAGCCCTGGAGGGCTCTGGGTGGTCTGATGGGTTCGGAGGGGCCCTGGCTACGGGAGCCAGGGGTCAGCATCTCAGAGCATGGTGTGCAAAAGAGAGGCAGAATGAGTCCGACTCTTGTGCTTGTGAGTGATAGAATCCCCAGCTTAGGTAAACAAGGGGTGTGCATTAGTTCAGGTAACTGAGAAGTGCAGGTTGATTAGCTAGGGTGCCTTGGGTTGTAACAGAAAGATACACCCACATCAGTCCAAGCAATATGGAAATACGTTGTTCCTGTAAATGCAAAGTGCAGCTGTGGCGTGGACTTCAGGATACGTTTGGTCCAGAGTTGCTGACGTCATCAGGGCTGAGTTCTCTTCCTCTGTGATCATCTGAACATTGCCCACTCCACACATTCACCCTGTCCCTAGGCAGGCTTCCCTCCCAGTGGTGAGAAAGTCCCTCCTGAGACTGGTGCTTCTTTCATCACATATAGAAGGAGAAAGGGCCTCTCTTCCCCCAGCGTTGACTAAAGTCCCAAGCCTCTCTCTGATGGACCCAATTTAGGTCATTTTCTCTCTCCTGAATCATCATCACAGCTGGGGGAATGTCATGAACTCATTGGCTCAGCTTGACCAGGCCTACCTCTGGGGTGAAGAATGAGCCAAAAACTCTCAAATGGTGAGTGGATGGAATGGATGCTGGGTGAGCTACCACAATATCTGCTTCAGGCACAGCTGGATCCAGGTGATTAGGTGGTTCATCAGGAACTCATTCTCTCCCCTTTTCCTGTCTCTGTTCCCTTTGTGTTGGCCTCATTCACAAGCAGTTTTCCTCCAAGTGAGAGCAAAAATGGTCACCATGCCCAGCTCTCTGCTTACAAATGTAAGCTCTCATCCGACAAATGTAGCAATACCAGCAGAGATGGGGCTTCTTTCTAATATTTCCAGCCAAAATCCTGGTTATGACTTTCACTGGATTAGATTAAGTCACGTGACCATCCCTCCACCAGTGACTTAGACCCTGAAGACTGGACTGCTCTATTCGGTCCAGCCTGAGTCATGTGGTCCAGAGGGCAGGGTTGGCCCCACCCAAACCGTTGGTCACAGAGAGGAGGAGGAGAGGTCCCCGAGAGGAAAACTGGGGATGGGTGGGGTGGAGTGGGCTGTTACCAGAAGGACTGGGTGTTGGAAAGACAACAACCATGGTTGTCCGTTACGCAGGGTTTGCAGGTCCAGTTCCGCTGGTGGGGACCATTTATCCACTGGGTCATTCAACACCTAATTCCCAAGCTCTTGCTCAGGGACAGCCATTCTCCTAGGTGCTAGGGGCACAGCAGAGGCCAAGACAGTGTTGTCACGGGACTGAGACAAGGGAACAAGAGATCCTCTGAACTGTGCTGTGATGGGGGGAGGGCACAGACAGCTGCGGGAGCGCAGAGCGGAGGCAGGAATAAGACTGTCTGCTGGGCAGGAGCAACTGCACGTGCAAAGGCTTGGCAGGGAGCGTGCGTCTCGGGGAAGGTGTCAGAGCAGGAAGGACTCTGACTGAGAAGACCCCATTTCAGACCAAGGGGTCTCCTGCTGCTTTTCTGCCCCTCCCTACCTCTGCTTGGCTCAAAAGCATGTGCCTTAAAGGGACCTTGACCTGGCAACACCATCCCTGATCCCTTTAAGTAGAACCCTCCCAGGTAAATCAGCTGAGGCTCTGACCCCCTTTGACCCAACGCTTCCCCCAGCCCAGCAGTTCCTGCCTGAGATCTTGACCTTGGGAGGTGGTCACTCTGAGCTAGAGAAGGATGGGAATGAACATCTGTGAGTGTTGATCATGTGTGTAATAATCTCTCCATATGTATTGAGCCCTGGTGTGTCATTATCACAACAGTGCTATGAAGCGGGCACTTCGTGGAGACGAAACCAAGGCACAGAGAGCTTAAGTAACCAGTCCAAGGTAATCCAGCCTGTGAGTGGCAGAGCTGGGATTTGAACCCAGGCAGTCTGGCTGCAAGCTCATGCTCCCACCTTTGTATTCTGCCTCCGTGAGATGATGGGGTAACGCTGTGTGACACGCGGAAGTGCTCGGTGATCACTGGCTCTTCTACTGTTACTGTTACTGATGTGAAATCGAACAAGTACATTAACCCCGTGTTGCATATGTGGAAACAGGCTCAGAGAGTTTGGGTCACTCGCCCTCTCCTCCCACAGACCTCTCTCTCCAGAAGCCCCCGGCTCTCTACCCTGGCACTCAGCATCTAGAGCCCAGCCTGCTGGTGTGGGCTGCGGGAATCTTTTTTCCCTGGAAGCCACGCCTGCTCCCTGGCTCCTCTGCTCCCCTGCCCGCTCGGGGCCGGCCTCCCCGGGGCACCAAGCTCCCATTTGACTTATTTAAGGCCAGGGCCCAGTGTACGGCCCTCTGAGGGCTGATGCATTTCTCCTCGTCACTGAGGCCTACAACATCAATCACCCCATTTTTCATCCTCTGCATTTGGGGCCTCGCCAGGGCTGGGCAGTGTCATCTCTTTTGTTTAATATCTGTGAGGCCATTTGTCAAAATTCTGGCCCCAGAGCCGCCCCTGACGCACCCCAGGCCCTGGAAAGGAGACCAGCTCCGAGGCCAGACAGTGCCAGCTCTGTCTCGGGCCCAGCAGGGAAGAACAGGCTGCCGGTGCATGGGGATCAGGGCTTCTGAGGAGCTTGACCGATGCTGGCCCGGCTTCCAGGAGGGCACCTGCACCGGAAGGGGACGGTTCCACCGTTAGGAGGCTGACAGCCCAGCTCAAACCTCCCCGACGTGCACTTCTGGGCTGCTGTGGGCAGTGTGGAGGGGTGGCTGAGGGGCCCTGGAATCAGACAGCTGGGGAGCACGTCCTGACGCTGCCCCTCACCAGCGGTGGACTCGGCCAAGTGACCTCCCCTGCCTGTGCCTCGGTCTCCTCAGCTGTCGAGGGGGGAGCCTGACTGCTACCCCACTGGCTCTCGTGAGTGATCTTCCAGTCCTCCGTTGACATATAACACATCACCCCAAAATTTAGTGCCTTAAAGTAAAAACATGATTATCTCTCATGTTCAGTAGGTTAACTGCACTCAGCTGGGTGGTCCCGTCTTAGGGCCTCCCAGGACGCTTCAGTCGGATGTCGGCTGGGGCTGGAGTCACCTGGGTCATGGCCAGCTGGGCATCCGAGATGGCCTCGCACAGCACTGGCAGTCGGTGCTGGCTAGTGGCCGGGCACTTAGCTAGGGTTGTCAGCAGGAGCGGCTGCGTGAGCCCGGTGGCTGGGTCCCTGTGGGGAGCACGCGTTCCAAGAGATCAAAGCGGACACCACAAGTTTAGTTTACGACCCTGCCTCAGAAGTCACAGAGTATCACTTCTGCTACATTCAGTTGGTCAAAAGCGGGGATGGGGCTGGATTCAAGGGGAAGGGGCTGTAAAAAGCATGGACCCCAGGAGGTGTGGCTTGTGGAGGGGCCATCTCTGGAGACGAGCCATGTGAAATAATGCACGTGAAGTGCTTAGCACAGAGAACGCACTCGACGAATGTTTCCTTTGAAGGCAAGCAAACCAAGCTCTCCGCTCCCTCTCCAGAGTAAGGATGATAGTAATGCCTGCTTCATAGGCTTGTTGTAAGGCCCAGGTGGGACCAGCTCGTAGAGTGCTTGGTGCACAGCCAGTGCTCTTTACGTGGTGGTGGTGGTAAAAGGTGACAATGACATTGAGCCTTGGTAATGCTGCTCTCTCTTGTTGGGATGCACGTCCCCGAGAGTCTGAGAGGATGATGTTGGGCAGCTCTTGCTTTCTGTCCTCCCTGGTCTCCACCCCACTGGGCTTCCCAGGACGTCAGTGTGTTTTGGGATTCAGCCTGGCCGTGCTGTCCTCTCACTCCTGACTCCCAACCTTGGGCCCTCTAGGTGCAGAAGCCCTTGCCTGCCCTGAGCCCTGGCCCCAGCCTCCCACTGCACCTCCTTTCAGCTCTCCCCAGGTCTGCCTGCTGTGACAAGGCCAGAGCAGGCCCTGGCGCTGGGACGGGACTGTGCCAGGCACTGTGGAGGTGCTTCATAAGCCCTGAGCTGTCTCGTCCCACGGAGGGGTTACTATGCCCGACTCAGGGACCAGGACGCGGCCTCAGAAAGGGCAAAGGCCCGAGTCCCATAGTCAGCCTCGGTGGAGGTTGCAAACCGCGTGCAGCCCTGGGCGGAACCCCAGCCTGTGGATAATTGTTTTGGACGGCCACAGTGTTATTTAAAAGTTCATATTTTTTTTAAACATCTAAAAAGATAAAAATTTTACTTAAAAATGCAGGTTTCTGGCCGCTCTTGACGGTGAGGAGATGTGTCCGTGCTTAACTCGCATTGCCACATGGCAGCAGGCAGCGAAAGCTGAGGAGAAGCTGCCCCTTTACATGGGGCGTATGCTCTCCAGGTCACCCCAGCCCACCCCACTCACTATTATTGCCTTACACCACACTGTCCTCACTTAGTCATCCACCTGACCCTGCAGGAATGTGAGTTTGTGAGC